GGAGAAGCAAGAAAAGGAAGATGAAGAGAAGAGGATCCGTGAAGAGGCTGCCAAAAGGGTCGAAGAGGAGAGGCTGGCAAAGGAGGCCGGACAACAGGAAGAAGATGCGAAGCAAGAAGAGAAGAGGATCACGGAAGAGAAAGCAAGGGCCGCCACAAGGTATGAGAGGTGGATGAAGAAGGAGGACAAGGACAAAACAAGCAGGGTGATGGAAGAAGCAGAACGTTGTTTGCGAGATCTCAGTTTGGAGGAGCGTGCGCACGCAAAAAAGGTTTCGTCGGAAGATGGAGCAGTTCCCAACCCTGACGAGAGAGAAGACATTGATACAAAGAGCGGAGATGAATCGCAGGCCTACAAGGACACACGCCCTTTGATGCCGGGTTTGCCGAGCTTGGCTGAAGAGGGGGACGATGCGGCAGCCTTACAACAGAAGCTTGACAAAATCCTAGAGGAGCAGAAGGCTGTGAGGCAAGCTTTGAACAAGAAGAAGAAGGAAGAGGAGGAGGCAAGGAAGAAAAGCAAAGGCAAAGGCAAAGGAAAAGGGAGGAAAACCAAAGCGCCAGCTTGCGAGGAGGAAGATCTAGATGAAGAACTGGAGGAGATGGATGCGAAACTCAAGCGTGAAAGGGAGATGATGGAGGAGGAGGATATGAAAGCATCAAAGCGCCGCCGGGCTCCAGGTGGCCGAAAGAAAGGAAAAGGCAAAGGCAATGGCAAGGGCAAGGATGGCAGTAATGAGGACACGGCGAAAGTTGACGATGCCTCAAAGACTGCGGCTGGCGGCGCAGCTGGCGACAAAAGGAAATTGGAAGAGGAGTCAAGGGACTTGACCATGCCTGGCAGTAATGCAAGCGCTGGCACAGAACACCCGAAGAGCAAAGCACAAAGGAAGCAGCAGGAGATGGGGTTGAGAGTGTCTAAAAGGGACCCCAAAGAAGAACATTGCATTCCTGACTCCCTAGATTTTTTAAAAATATAGGGGAGTCAGGGAAGTCCAATTTTTTCAAATTAATTATCCTAATGAAAGTCCGCTCCCTGATCCACAAAATCCACCCCGTTGTTTCAGGAGGGACCAGCAAAAAGCTCGCGAGGTCAAAAGATGGAGGTGCGGTTTGGCATGTTTTCCACTATGCATCTCTAAACTTGCCAGGAACTCCGGGCCAAAAACATGAATCTGGTGAAGGACTTGGCCAGCCAGGACGGTAACCTGTACCATTTGGATGATGACATTGACGACAAACTCGCCAAGGGCACCCGGTAGATGTCTCAAATGCTCACTTCAAGTATTGATCGATCATTGTCGAATATCGGGTACAAGCTTAGCTTATTTGCCAGATCCAAACCTTGCCACAGCCTCAATTATCAATATTTCACCTATGGCCTAGCTAGTACATGAGCTGTGCGCCGAGGCTTACCGGAAGTTTCTGCGTGGTTCACCCAGATCCTGGTACCGTCTCACTTGTCAATGAGACCTACTCCAAAGCATTCGAGGCTCGATTTTCCAGCCCAACTGTACCCGCCCTGGCTCCCAATGCCTGCCAGGCCAACATCAATGACAATATCACCGTGACCTGGGGAGTTCACGGAGGCATTCGTGAAGCGTTGGGGCCCCACTCCTGTAACCGGCAATTCTTTTAAGCAATGTATTTTGTTGAAGCCTTTTTTTGAGGTGGGAACTTGCAAAGTTTCTGGCTGGCTGGGCCAAGTGTGAGAAGAAGGGCTGAGGGGCGCATTCACTACTCGTTGAATGCAATTCGAGTTTTGTGAACCTAACTTGGGCAAATGGTGCCATTCAAACTTTGAAGTCGTGCCAGCAGGTGAATGAACTAATCACCGAATGCGGCAAACAAGAACCAGGGGAATAGGAAAACTGTGTCAGTCTCTGTGCTGCTTGTTTATGTTCTTTGCATGAATTGAATTTCCTTGCCTTTTTTGGTGAGCCGTGTATCCTCCATATATATGCCTGCCCATCAGCCCGGCTCACCGCATAAGGACAAAGCAGCGTTCTTGAGGTGCTACCGTGATGTCGCCATCGCGGTCTGATGCATGGCGCATGTCGCCGCTCGCTCTGACCGCTACAGCGGCCACCATGGCCATATTTCTGGGAGCTCCAAAGGAATTGCCCTGTCCTCATTGGGGTGTTCAATGTTTGACCTGGGTTCGAAGTTCTTAGATCGTGATCTCAGGTTGGACCTTGCAGATTTTGTTGCAGCCAATTCCTACACTGCCTATCCCAGCCGTGTCAGGGACTCGCAAGTTTTCATTTTACACTGTTTCTTCAACAAAATTAATCGACTCTCCATCCATAGGATTTGGTGGTCTTCGACGTATTTGCTGGACAAAGATCTATCGACAAAGCATTTCGCCCCAACCTCAACTTCAAGGTGAGACCATGTTTCCATTGATCAGTTTTTGTCTGAGGAACAAATAGCCTGGCTTCGCAAGGGGCCTATCCAGTAGACGACCGCTCATCAAACGTATACATGCACATCAGCCTGGTTCTAAGGGAGTACTATGATATCGAATCTCGTCCTGCCACCAACGACATCACTTCAACGTTCGGCCCTTGTAAGCTATCGCTTGCAAACCCCGGCTCCCCTCTCAGCGTGCTCAGGCCTGGATTCTGCCAGGCCATACTGGGAACCTTGCGGGTTGCAGCGGGTGGTGTCCTCACCCTGGGACCTCCCTGTGGGAGTTTCGTTTGGGTCAATCGCAGTACATCTCAACGCTCGCCATCACGACCCTACGGAAACGAACGTCTGGGCTATGTCGAAACAGCCTCTTTGCTACTGGGATCAAAGATTGGAATTAAGTAGCTCAACCTTGGTGAACATCTTCCACATGGTTTGGGGCTCCATTTATTTTGGGCACTGGGCTCTGCGCAATATGAGTTCCAGCTACTATTGATCGATCTGCATATACATGCACCATAAAAACAGCCCCGCCCCCAAAATGGAGCCCCAAAGTTTAGATTGAGTCGAGTGTCCCATATAACTAGTCGTGGTGGGTGAGATTTTGGTGGATAAGAGTTTGAGTGCGCGCTCAGGATTTGTACACGAGCTGTTCTCCTCATACTTCTTGCGACAGTCCGAGGGGTCTATGTATGCCTGGAACAGCCGGCGTCATCTGTCATGAAGCACATGCCCGACTTTAAAGCCACAGGGAAAGCTATTCAGAAATGGTTGGGCCTATGGCACGAACAGTTTTTGTTAGGGACTCAGTGGAGAAAAATTTGTAAAGCAACCTGCCCTACTGTCGTATCCCATCCCGCCAAACTCTCTCAGTTGGATGGCATCATGGGGCGCTAGAACTCCTAAGCCCTCGCGGGTTTGGGGCACGGCGCCTGCGGCTCAGTCAATTCGACCGCTGCGAGCTCCTGACAGTCGCAAATCATTTGGAAATCAGGCTGTGGCTACCAGACCTCTACTGCAAGCTGACCAAACTCCATCGGCTGAAGTTGGCTGATGCTGCTAAAGATTTGAAGGTGACGACAAAGAAACAAAAAGCCAATGGAGAAGGGGTGTGGGTGTCCACACCTCAGGGATCCTCAGGGTCTAATTTGTCGGCTTGTCACTTTGCAACGCTAACTGGTATACTATTTGGTGATTCCGAGGACAGGTGGCAAGGATCTGAAGCGAACTCAAGTGTATCCAGCTGGATATGGGCGTCGAATCTGTTCTTTGCACAAGCTTCTCATGGACCCTCGTATAGTTCAAGCAACGCATTCCAAGCTAGCTGATATACTAGACTGGTCAAAGCCCAACATGATTTTGTTTTAGGATCTGTATTCCCTGATGCTGACTCCAGCCTACAACTCCCAGGAAAACAAGCGCTACCACCTGGAGGCGGCCGTCAGAGTTGCTGTGGCGAAGCTCAAGTCCAAAAGGTTCCCCGTGGCTTTGCATGAATCAATACACAGAGTGTCAGCTCGAGAACCTCGAAGTGGTACAAAATAGAGCATCGATGCCGTAGAAGATCAATCTTGTTCCAACATCTTACGAACCGAATGATTGGAGCTCTTGTTTCACCCTGTCTCCTGCAGGCTAAGAGACGGGGAGCTTGGCGCAAAGCTGACCTGCCAGCGATCCGGAAGTTCGTACTGAAATGGCAGTCCAAGCGGACCTAGTCATGACCAAAGTTTTGAGGGCCCTCTCCCAGAAAAGTAGCAACCATGAGAAAATCAAGTGTCCAACACCTGCCGCATCAGTTTTGGCGATGGGCCTTCAGATGTTCTTGGGTCAAAGTGTTGGTTTTCCAGCGCTTTTGCAGCACTTGGCTTTTTTGGGTCACTTTTTGAAGCGTGACTGAACCGTGACAGAATCGTGACTGGACCGTGACAGGGGGGTCAAAGTATATGTTTACTCGTGACGGGACATGTTTACCCGTGACTGGAGCGTGACCAAACCGTGACTGGGTGGCCTTGGTTTTTGGGTTCAATCTAGGCCCGGAAAAGCCAACTTAATGACACTTACGATGCAACATTTGCCCGTATGAAAAAGGCCTGCCATTAATTTCTGGTGTTGCAGCTACAACCTTTGCTTGCACTTGCATTTTTTGAAGGAACACCTCCGTGCCGTAAAGTTTTTGTGGGGTTCAAAGCAGCCATGGCAAACATGGCTGACCAAGAGCTCCGGAGTTTCATAGAGCAAGCTAAGAAACGGCAGACCCGAGTAGCCCCATCTGAGTGTGCCTGGCTAAGTTCTGATCACTATATGACGTTTTCTATTGCCCATGATCCGATTTGCCAGGCGCCCGCAGTCCACCGACGAGATCGAGGAGAAAGAGAATGAGGAACCCGGCAGAGGGAAGGAAAGCGAACCGGTCAAGGAACCACCTTCAGGCCCCACTGCTCAATTTGCATGGTCAATTTTCTTCTTGTTGGAATTGTTTGACAATTTCTGTCCGATGGTCAGGTTCAAAGCCAAGAAAGGTTGTACTGGTGAGGAAAGTGATCAAGAAGAAAAAGACATCTACAGGTCTAGTTGCCGTTCCCTCAACCCCTGTTGAGCCCGAGCAGAAAGCGACATGTCCCGCAACCCCTGTTGAGTACGACAAGGTACCTGGTACACCATCGACTCTGCCCTACGGCCGGTTCCAATCTCATGCTGTATTGTTGGATCATGATCAGCATCACTATGATGGAGCCTACTCACAATGGCGCGAGGAAGCTCCGGACATGTGGCATCTATGGGATTGGCCCCCGAAAGGGTGGAGGCCGTCTAAGTGGCAACGGTCCTACTGGGATTCATCTGACCCCTACTATGGCTACAACACCTACACATGGGACCGGGAAGAATGGTGGAACCCTTCCTCTGAGGAACCTTCGACGAGTGGCACTGAGACTCAGACCCCACCGCCGGGACCAGGACAGCTCCGTTCACCTGACACAGTGTCCACGTTACTCTCCAGAAGCGACAGCGAGTTGGCTAGAGTGAATGAAACAATTGACGGTCTTCAGCGGGCCAATACCGTGGAGCAAGTTACTTTTGAACAAAAACTCAATCAGGCAGCTGAGCCTAGTCCTGGGGAAGGTCAGGGCAACTTGGGGGAGGAGGCAAAGGAATCAGAGGTTGAACCAGATGATCGCAAGCAGAACGGTACTGCGCCTAGCCATGAGGCACCAGCGCCACCGAAAAAGGACAACAAGGGCCAGCAGCAGGTCGAGCCAAGCGCGTCTCAGGAAGCTGACGCTGAGGCCCAAATCACGGAAGAACAGCTGAAAGACCATGAGAAAAGAAGAAAGGCAGCAAAAGCACGATACATGCGCTACTACCGAAGTATCCGAAGCCAATCCCTCAGTGTTAATCGAAAGAATATTTCAACAGCATCACGCAACAGTTCCAAAATGTGTCTCAATCAATTGTCGGCCTGTGTGGGTAGTTTGGGTAGTGTGGCTCAGGCCCAAAGGCGCCCCCAGAGCTGAAGAAGCTGCTTTCAAAATGCCGAGAGAGTTCTCACCTAAGTTACTTGAATTTCCTCAAAGACCTCACAGAACTTCAAAGCTTTTCCATGCTTTGCCCGATTTCCAAAGACTTCAACCCAATCTCTTGACATGTGAGGCGACAGTTTCAACTCCATCATGTACGACGCGTGGAACGCATGCGAGGGTAGGTGGAAGGAGTCCAAGTTCCTACAAAGTGTCAGGGAGAGGCATGGCCATCGCAAAAGGGGTGTCCGGAAATGGCTACTTTCACATGAGATGGATACTATGTTTGGGGTGGTCATTGCAGCCCTCATGCGAGAGCGCAAATTGGAAAATCAAGATCTAAAGGCAAAGGAGACCCGCTTTCATCCCGATCTGCCACAACATGAGGACGGGTGTGCCAGATTAGGATGGTTGGGTCACCGCTTGTATTTTCACTCCCTCCTACGATCATCGAACCTCTTTGAAACCTCACCTGATGCCAGGACCACCGTCAGTTCTTGACCCTGGTCGAAGATGCTGAAGAGGACCAGTATGAAGAGGAACTCGATAGGCTTTACACCGCCGTTGATGCAAGTTCGGATAGCTCATCAAGTTCTGATGGTGGAAAGAAAAAGAAAAAGGAAAAGGGTCGTTCCAAGTCCGATGACAAGGCCGATAATCTCCCTGGGGTGTCCAGTTTCCCATCTCGGTCCATGATGTGTTCTTAATCTTATCACGCAAAAGCAAGACACACACACACACTAGTAACTTGCCGGTAAACCAAAAAGAACCCGCCCAGGCAGAGGAAAAGAATAAGAAGGGTTCACAAAAGAAGAAGAAAGAAAATAAGAGAAAGAAGAAGGAGAAGAAAACGAAGGATGAGCGTGAGGGTGACAAGGACCCTAGGAAAGATCCTAAAAAGCAGCTCGAGAAAGATGCAAAGAAGGCCCTGCAGCAGACTATTTAAACTTTAAGACTTGATATATGTTTTGGCTTGGGTTGTCGAAGGCCATGTGTGATATTGACACAGCTTACATGGAAGTGGAAAACTCTATGACCATTTGCCACGTACTCGTTAGTGAGACAGAGTTTTTCACTTACTACGACCGCTCGCTTTGGATTTTTTGAAGGCCCTATCTGATGCCAGCACCAAGATCAAAGCCTCCGTGGATTTGCTGCCGAACTTGGCCAACATGTGCACGTCTCAGGTCAATGCACCATATATCACTGCTCAGTAAGTACCATGTTCCGTGCGCTCAGGAGCGAGAAGTTTCGCGAGTCCGTGAGCACTGATGTGGAAACGAAGAAGGCCCAACTCGAGGCAAGCAATTGCATCGCGCGCGCTATAGCATACAGGCACCGCATACCCCATATCCTAATTATGTGTCGATCATCAATTGGACCACTTTTGGAGGGGTTATAGTGTGCACCAATCAACCCACTCAGCCTGGACTCTTTTTTGAGCCATGTCAGGATGCGAGGAGCAAACTCCAGTCTGCCGTTGACAAGTCTGAGGTGGGGAAACTGACAGGGGGATCGAGAATCGAGATGGTCAAATGTCGAACTGAATGGCGCGTACTGCACATTGAAGATTATCATGCATGTGGGCATAGGTTGATTACCTTAGTACAGTGGTGAGGCTTCTTTCGATTTCCACCTGACCTGACCCATCCGACGTCCCACCGGCCAGGTGACGCAGAGCATGATCGATGATGTGAAAGCTGCGCGTGAGGGCTTGGAAACTGCGTGCACTCCGCTAAAGTCAAATGCAAACAAGAAGGCCAAAAAGGAGAAGAAGTAGGATCTTAGGATGTTTCAATTATGTTGGCAACGCCAGGGATCGGACCGGCTTAGCTTGTTTTTCAGAAATCCACATGCACACATCAGTGGCGAACCCTTTACAGTAAGATCTAGGGACTTGTCTCAAGCATGGAAGTCATGTATCAAGCGGCCGTCCATAGCTTCTTACTGGGGCCCGCAGTACGGTGCATCAGTGTTGTGCTTGTGAGGGGCAGCTTCATAAGCTGCGGGGAATGCAATGTGAACGCTGTGCACATAGACCTGCTGTTGGGCGCTTGCTTTCGGTGAACCAGTGAAATATCTAATATATGATCTTGAGATTAATGGATTTATGCTAGCCTAAGTTTGTCCAATGTTCAGCGCCCAAATCTGAGCTCGGTTTTGGATTGAGCCAGCAGCCCCAGCTTTATTGGCGTGCCTTCAGGATTTGCCTAAGTTGGAAAAGAATCCATGCAGTTGTCTCAATTTGGTGAGTTCGAGTCCTGTATAGTTGGCGTGATCCGTCCATCGATCGGCCTTGATCTAGAAACCTCCGACGAGTTCTTTTTCAGCTTCCATCGCATCCTTGCACTTACCTCTCTCCACCCCTCCACTACATCCCAGGAATCAGAGGAAAACAAAAGTCGTATGGTTTTTGGACCTCCCTGAGTCCCATGAATTCCCATCAGTTCCCATCCAATAACCATTGCATCCTGACAGGGTTTTGCTTTTGCATGTGCTATAGATCAAATTCCCGCGCAGGTGCTTGTGGCATTGGCCCTTTGGAGCGGGACCTTTCTGAGAAAATAGCTAATGGAGCCCCTTGTCAGCAAGTGGTTGTCAAAAAAGAGCTAGCTACGAATGAACCGAATTCTTCCATGATGAGAATCAACACGAGGTCCCACCGTGTTCGCAGCCAGTGCCTTTGAATGCTTCCTGTTCCGTAGCCTCGCAAAGGCAATGAGTGCGAAATCTGCGATGGTCACTGCCCAAGCATCTTATGCAGATGCTCGGTGGGGGTCGCTGTAGAGTGGGTTGGGATCGTGTTTTGTTAACCTCTTTGATCAGCATTCGACATATTTTATTTGATCTATGAACTATATGAACTAGATCGATCGAGTTTTGGTTGGTTCATGAATCATCTATCGATCGAATTCGGTCAACCGATGGATTTGATGCGCCTGCTTGTATCATGTAACCATGCATGTGTATATCAACATTTGCACCCAGGAAGCTGGTGGGAACACTTCCAACTGGACTGCCAAGCTCGCGACTTTTAGCAGCAGCTCACGCAACCACTCGCGTGACTTCTACCGCACCAACCCTCTTCCTGTAGAGCATCCTTTGGTCATTTAGTTTAAACCGCTTTTATACTTTGCTAGTTTCCAATCAAGGCCCACAAGCAGCCCAAAAGATCCCAAACGCGTTGGGTTGGATCATGATTATGAAGGGAGGGCTGGCGTATGCAATTTCGATGTCTTGGATATAGATCGGATCATTTAACTAAGGAGCCAGTACTTGTGTCGGTCACTGGGAAGAACAGAAATGACGATCCTGTTCCCATGGAAGTGCCAGTTCTATTGCCTCACCAAATCTTGGAGCACTTGATGTTAGAATGTCAATTGACAATTGATGATGAACTGGTCAAGAAATACTGGGTGAACATGGAGGTGTCAGCAGATGAGACTGCCATGAACTCAAAACACTTCCGTCAGCTGGTGGGTAAGCCGGTGTGGCCACTCGGCCTACATGGAGACGAGGCATCTATGGCAGTTCAAAATGCACCCTTTGACAAAATCTGGGGAGTTTTCCTATCACTTCCTTTGTTCCGGCCTACGGCAACGCGGACATCACGGTATCTTCTATTTTCAGTGGCTTCGTCACAGGTGTTGGATGTTCAAGCCACCTTCTACCCTCTGTTCGAAGCCATCAAAAACAGCTTGAACGATGCTTGTAGGATTGGGGTCGCTGGTCAACGCTTCATTGTCACAGAGCTGCGAGGGGATCAGGCTTGGTTCAAGTATGTGCTCCGCCACAGGTCTTGGTGGATCAAGACTGAGATCTGTTTCCGGTGCGCAGCGAACAGTCAGTCTGGAAGGAAATGCTACGCCAATTATGATCTTGACCTTCCACTGCGAACTACACATCAGTTTATCCTGGAGGAGTTGCCTCCCGATGAGATCTGACACTTATCTTATTTTGGAACAGGGTTGAGAAATCGATCAATGAACATCCCCGATATATAGCTTTGCCGTTTACCAACATAGGCCCAACAAAGGTGAATTAGGGGCGCAATTCCCAAAATTGTGATTTCAGGTTGATCGGATTTGAGGTCCTTTGATTGACCTACACTTTTTTGCCATGAGCTGCATCAAACACTGCACCCTCCATATTGTGAATTTGGGTCTCCTCGGAATCTCAAATGGATCCACGATGAACCTTGGCTTGATTGTTCAGCTTGGACATGTTACCCGCAAGTTGGGTGTTTGGAATTGGTTGGACACTGTCTCGGATCCCTTTTGTCCAGCCGCGCCTCTCGCATCTCATTTGTTTGCAGGTCAATGCTGCTCCACATAGGTGCCTTCGGTGCGGTGGATGAAGCGATGGGCCCAGCTGTGTTCAAGGATGCGCTCATGGAAGCGTTCTCACGGTTCACAGACTGGCGTCGGCAACATAGGATTCAATCCAGCCAGCGCCGGTTCAATTACAAGGGCATTTTCAATGAAGTGTACGGGTGCTATCTAAATGCAAAGGGATTCAATGCCAGAATCATCACCGAGTGGCTCCTACATGAAGTCATCCGTGCAAGATCCCAACCTGGTTTGCTACCTGACGAGAGGTTGGAAACAACTGAAAAAGCTTTGACACTTGGATCTAGAACAATTCTTGAATTGAGGCCTCGAGGTATTCAAGGTCCAAGCTCAGTTCCTCACATTACCAGGAGGGTGGGCCTTTTGAAATACGTGGCCCTATTGAATTTGCCCAGGAGGGGGATCTGCAGATTTTTTGGGCTCAGTGAGCGGGCCTCGCGCTGGCTGCAGCTTGGCCCATCCATGTCAGCAATGCGGACAATGCTTTCAGAGTGCTGTCATGGTACCCGCTGCGGTAGTCTGATGTGTGAGCTGGGTGGTACATGTTAAACATCGCACCAACGCTAAAAAATCAAGGAGATTGATAGTTGCAGAATGTTGCAAATCTAGATCGTATTCATTTAGAACAACCATAAAATTCCATAACCTAAAGCCAATTGGGGAGTCGCTTCTCCAACCCTCGGGTGAGGGCCGGCAGGTTCTTGGGCGCTGGAAGAAATACTTTGTACCCGGATTGGGTGTGCCCAAGAATGGAGTGTTCGATTTCGTGGCGGTGTGTGAGTGTTCACATCGATCCAGCGTCGAGGGTAGATTCGAGTCTATCCAAGGACACCATCTCAAGCAGCAGATCTGGAAGCTTCCGGCCGGGCCTACCTCACGAATTTCCTAGTGCTGAACAATATGAGTATGAGGACTTCGTTTTCTCCCAAATTCTGTTCAAAAGGCTTGTAGCCAAGTTTTCATGTCTTGGGTCTACTTTGGCACACGTAGGAAGAAGATCCTGGCTTGGGTGCTGGTACCGAAATGGCATGTTTCTTGGCTGCGCCGCGCCGACCGTGTCAATCGTGGCTGGACTCTGGACTTCGAAGCGTCGACACCACTTGCAACCTCTAAGATCGGTTTTTGACATAGCCGCTCGATGAAACCATCAGTTCACGAATCCCAGATTCCTCATGATGATTTCGACCATGTTTGCCGAGCAGTTCAGGAATGCGCCACGTTAGAGTAATCTGGGATCCGGCATGGAAATCTGGGATCTGGCATGCCAATCTGGAACCCTAGGCCTTTTGGCACGTGTTGAAAGATGGTATTGCTAAGCAGCGCCACTCGATTGCATTCGTGCTTCTCGATCTCTGAGTGCTGCATGAACTTAAGTCTTTAGTGATGATTTGCCAATGAGGCCAAAATCCGCGAATGCATCATACATACGCGGACGAGGATATGATGTCAGTCCTTAAAGGTGGGCACTGGGGGGGCATGAACCCTTGAAACATGGTAACCTGCAGTGAGAACCTACCTGACACAACATGCGCTGACCGGCGCTGACAGGTTGGGCGAGACGGTCGGATGCAACACAACACCAAAAGCGTGGCCGAGAGTTTGGAATCATGCGCTTGGCACGCATGCGATTGAAAACGCTGACCTGGCGAATTCCTGAACTGCTCGGCAAACACGGTCGAAAGTTTGGATGAAAAAGAGCGAGTGTCGATTGTCATGAGGAATCTGGGATCCGTGAATTGATGGTTTCATTGAGCGGCTATGTTTTACTCGGTTAAACATCGACCTTGGTCAAAGGCTATCCTTTACTTGGGCAAACATGTGATGTTCAAGTTTAACTTGCACATTGGATGCGCAGGGTATATATTGGACTTATTTTTATATCGGATGTGGCGACATGGGAGATTCTTGGGAGAAAGATGAGAAAGGCTGGGGGGAAGAGAGTATCACGGAAGTTGCAAGTTGCATGGTTCGACAAACAATATGTTGGGATCGCTAGGACCATCTAAGACCCCCAATGTGAAGAGCCTAGCTAGGTGATGGTTTCGGATATTTTTATTTTCGACCCTTACTTGGGGATGAAGAAGGACCCTCTGACTAAAATGTTTCAAGTTGGTTGAAAACACCAAGCAGCTAGATGTTTACCATGTTTACCATCGAAATTGGAGACCACCGTTTTGGATGTTCCACCACACGTGGGACCACTTCAGACTGGCGGCCGACACCGTGTGTGCGCTCCCAACGTTCGGCGTTCGGACGACCGGTCGTTTTTTCCGGTCGTTTTGGGTGACGACGGGGCCGCAGGATCGCCCAGACGCTGAGAACTTCGAGTGTTTTGGCCACCACCTCCCCAGTCAGTGAAGACCTTTTACATGGATTTATTGGATTTATTTATGTGTGTCTTTTATAGGGAAGACCCCCAAGCATGGGGTTTTGGTCTGGTTTCCTTCTTCCGGTCTTTGGAAGGTCTCCCTATTCTATTACACACCCAAATATACCTTGAAGCCTTTTTTGAGTGGTGGATCATGACCACGAGGTGGGGTAGGACCACGAGTCCAAGACGGACGTTCTGGGTGAGATCGTTTTCTTCAAGCCTACCCTGTCAGGAGGATTTTCCATGAAAAAACACCACCGAAATAGCGGGTGGCTGGAGATGTGGTGCTTTGCTTCGTGCCATCCGAGGCATGGACCAGATTTTGGACTTCGGTAGCCTACCTACTGAGGAGGTGGGTCGAGACCGGGTGGCACACTCTTCCATGTCTTTCGTCGTGTTCCAGGGAACTCATACTCAGAATTTCTTGCCAAGGCACTGCTTGGGAGAAACATAAGGTACACCATGTTTCACGTGATCATAGACTCAGGCAACTCCAAACTTTCCGCCAAGTCATGATGGACAGCGGACCAAGAACAGCCCTTCCTACCGGCTTCCCGATTGGAAGACCATGGACATGTGACACGGAGGTACAGCCATTGGTTGCGATCAGTAAGAAGAGAGCTGAATACATTTGTTTCTCATTGTTTCTCAATGATTTCAGGGATGTGGCGCATATTCTCTAGTCAGTCCATAACACCTAAGTCTTTGACATAATGTGAATGTGGACGTTGGTGCTGTACATCACCAATCGCGGGGTCGGCTGTGCGTACATTTTCGCTTATCCAAGATCGCCACATATCGCCACTTGTTTGGATACGGGTATTTGGAACATAACACGTGCTACCAGCTTTTGTGCCTGACGAGCATCCAACATGTTGCTGGGAACTCATGTCTCACGTTGCGGACCTCGTTGCGGACCAGACATGGAATCAATGATATAGACATGTACAGAAGGAAACCGTCTTCCATGGAACACACCTCCACATTTAGACCATCCAGAACACACCATTCTGGTTCTTCGAGGCTTCGAGGGGTTCTGCTGAAAACACCCCATCACCGCACCCTCCGTCAGGCCTATGCCGCCTCGGCGAAGGCCTGGCGTCGCCGGTGTTTGGACGCATCGTCAGTGCGGTGCATCGGCGCAGAAGGACCTCTTCCCTCCTCTTGAGGTAGCCTATATGCATGGCCTGATTGCATTGCCCCCATTGGGCTGCGACTTCGTTTTGAGATGATCGTGATGAGGTCGGGAATAGATAGATCTTCCATCAAACATCCATATATGACAATCCAATGTTGTACTAGACCACGTGTTTGGATTTATAGGGATACACAACCACAAACATAAAATCACAAACACACAACCACAAACACACAATGCACAATCACAAACACAC